AATGAATGTCTAGCAATTTTTTCAATTACTTTTTTTTTGTCACTAATTAATAATTTTTTTCTGCGATCTTTGCTCGTCCGACGCTCACCAATATTCTCAAATTATAAGAAATGCTCAGACCGAAATTTGGTATTCATACTTGAATATACACAGCGCGATAGTATACATAGCACGAATACTTGGTCTGCATACATGGAGCATCGTCTATATCAAAAAATATCTGTATAAGAAAAGAAACTCTGCTCTCTGAGAATTACGTGAGAAATTTTTGCCGAAAATTCATTTTTTATAACATTTTGGTAACACGTATTCAATGCATGTTATTTCACCAAGCTTATGTCAAATTTTGTTTTTTTAGGGCTCCAGTATTATATCCTTTTCAAAAGGAATATTACTATTTTTCATTTTGGTATATTAAATATGTTAAGTAATATTAATGACGAAAATTGGTTAAAATAAATGTTATGTTCAAAGAAGATTTTATATAGAACGGAAACTTAAATGAGCACAACACAAAATAACAAACACACTCTCAGAAATTGCACTAATACCATCTCAAAACGTACGATTATTTCCAAATTGAGCAAGTCTAGGTCCTTATTCACTCCGAATACGGACCTTAACTTGCTCCAAATAAGAACCTTAAGTTACTCTTAAGAAAAATTTTATGGGCAATGAGTGCAACAGAGAGCATAATTTTGGTTCTCTGTTTTGATTTCTTGACAAAAAATTTGAATGCACTGCGCTATATTTAAAAAAAAATTACCGGGCAATTGATTGTAAAAAAGTAGTAAAACTAATTTGCGCCCAATATTAGAAAAAGTATAAAGCAAAAAATGATCAAAGTGATTTAATTATAAATTTTTTTGAAATAATAAAGTAAGTAAATAATAATAATTATGTTTTAAAAATACTAGTGCATATAATTAATAAATTAATGTTTTGTTGATGGTGAGACATTGTGTTAGAGGCTGTGCCACTTACAAGACGTTACACAAATTCCCAGCAACCGATGATTTAGGAATGCAATTGTTATTATTTGTTGTACTATTTTCTGTGAAATATTTGAAATATGAAATATTTCTTTGGCAAGTTTTCGTATTCGTCTATTAATATTCAGTACTGTGCAAATAATAATAAAAAATACCATCACTATTGTTTTTTTATATGTTTTACAACTACTGTATTTAAGTATTTTAAGATGCTACATTTTTAATATTAAGTTTATTATAAACATGTTTATTCTATATTTACTTATTTGTCTAACTATAACCGTTTGAGTATTGTATGAATTGTATCAAGTGTATTTTTTAATAAAAATTAAATTTTTATATAAATAAATGAGTTAAGTGTATATTTATTAAATACATAAAAGATAACGAATGTGTGTGTTAGATGTGTCTCTAAAAAATGATACTATAATATTTAATTTCATGTTGTTTGAATTTATTTGCAGTAAAAGAATGTTGAAATGTTTTTAAAAACATAAATTTTTTAAAAACATCAAAAAAGTATGAAGTAATTAATTTACAACAATACTGAATAAGTATTAAGAAAATTTCCCCAAAACTAATAATACATAAAATAAAAACATATTATAATATTTAATTAATTAACACAAAATGTTTATTTAAAATTAACGATGTGCGCACACACCCCTGCGCATCAACGACCTATTCGGTACTGACTACAAAATTCGTTTTACGAAATCATAAAATGAAATTTTGTAGGCAGAAATCGAACGATGCTCGTTAACGTGCGCGCACACCCCTGCGCATCAACGACCTATTCGGTACTGACTACAAAATTCGTTTTACGAAATCATAAAATGAAATTTTGTAGGCAGAAATCGAACCATGCTCGTTGACATGCGTGCGCACCCTCACACATCAACTATTATTCGGTACTTTTTTTTTGGAATGTAAGTGGAAGATTGCACCCGCAGATGCAACCCCATTCCAGAATTAGGAGAGACAGAAAATAAGAGCTGAATATTTGTATACAAATTCCTCTAAGCTAGGAGTGAAAACGCATGAGCGTTGAAATTAAAGGTGATGAGAAAATCCTAACAAACTAATGAGTGAAGATGACCATTAACGGTATACACGATGTAGGGGATTGTAAAATCCACGGTTGTATAACGGGATGGATTGAGGGGAACGAACCATTTCATCAAGGTAGAGAGAAAGTGCTTGAGAGGGCTTGTAAAATAGGGCTTGAAGAAACTCAGAAGGAAGATCCTCATCACGGAGAATATTGGGGGGGAGATTGTGTCGACGAGTTAAATGTCTGCGCGCAAGTGAAAGAAGATATTCGTCAAGTCTTTCAATCTTGGCAGTGGAGTAGAGTACTCGGCAAGAGTGGTGATGTCCATTGGGTTTTCGCCTGTAGTTGATGCTGTCGCGAAGGATTTTTCTTTCGAGAATTCGGAGGCGTTTCATTTGCGCTGAGGAAATCCCAAACCAGATAGGGAACGCATACGTAAAGATGGGGCGAATGAGTTGCTTATAACATAGTACCTTGGTCTGGACGTTGAGGAGATTGTGCCTGCGCAAGGCGTTTTTAAGTTGGAAGTGCCGGAAGGAGGCATTCTGAATGGAGTGAGAAATGTGTGGAATGAAGTTGTGTTTGGGAGAGAAAACAACTCCGAGGTATTTAAATTTGTCGACTATGGGAATAGAAGTGGAGTTGATTTGGATATTAAGGTCAGAGGAACGGAAACGTCTTGAGCGATCAGCTTGCCTACCAGTTATAGCTACTGCAGACATTTTGCTAGGGTTGAGTTTAAACTTCCACTTGGAATAATATTTGGAGAGCACGGCAAGATGACTGTTAAGGGATACTGAGATTCAGCGAGTGGACTTGGATTTTGTGTACACTAAGCAATCATCGGCATAACACAGCTGTTTAATGGGGGGAGAAGGAGAAGGGATGTCAGAGGTGTAGAAATTATAGAGAAGGAGGCCGAGCACAGAGCCTTGGGGAACTTCTGCTGCAACGGGAAAGGTGCGAGATAAGGACGACCCAACACGTACCTGAAAGGTTCGACCAGACAAGAATTGGAAGATGATGCTGCACAACGTAGACGGGAAATTGAGCTGAATTAGCTTGTGGACCAGTCCTTCAATCCAAACCGAGTCAAAGGCCTTTCCCACATCCAGACTGACCGCCACCGTGGACTGTTTATTATGAAACCCGACACATATATCAGTATGAAAGAGTGATAGGGCATCAACAGTAGCTGTCCTGTCTCTGAATCCAAATTGGATTCAAATTAGGGATTATCTGATTTGCAGAACTAAAATGGATCAGTTTGCTAGCAATAAACGTTTCGTAAAGCTTACTGACTGAACTAAGAAGGGAGATGGGTCGGTATTGATGTGGATCTTGTTTAGGCATGCCTTTCTTTTCAATGGGACACACTATGGCCTTTTTCCATGGAAGTGGAAAATGACCGATATTGTATGCATGATTGAAAATCGTTGCGCACTTATTACAGAGGAGAGAGTCTTCTGAGAGTGTAGTATGAGACTTTGTCCTGTCCGGCAGACTTTTTGGACTTCTTATCCATGAGGATATTGAGAAGTCCAGTGGGAGAGAGGAAACCGTTTGGGTCAGCAAGACTCCCACAACAAGCTGGCAGTTGCTGACTGAAATGCACAATGCAGGTACTAAAACTGTTGAAGATATCGTGAACCGAGCTGTGTCGGATGTGAAAGAGGGACAGCCGATATTAAGAGAGACTCTATGATTGCCTTCAAAGATATCGCCGAAAATGTTGGCTTTGAGGGAATCATCAGACACCAGTATGTCATTATGACGGATGCTGGGTATTGATTTATTGATTCCGCAGATTTGCTTTACTTTAGCGAATGCATCAGATTTACACTCGATAGCGAGAATCTGGGTT